TCTGTCTGTCTGTCTGTCTGTCTGTCTGTCTGTCTGTCTGTCTGTCTGTCTGTCTTATTTTTTGGGAGGAGTTCCGCAGAGGGCCAACACTTTCCGTGACAAGGTCCTCTGAGCAAACCTTAGATATATTACAAGAGTTGGGGTTAGGATTAGTATTGTTTGTCGGCCGGCCACCTTCGGAACTCCTTCAGGGAAAAGTGTGTAATTGTGGGTGACTTCTAGATCCAGATGGATGAACTGATGGACGGACGGACGGACGGATGGAATAGAGACAGAAAAGGTCAGACAACGAGTTGTCAGTCAGTCAGACAGTCAGTCAGACATTCAGTCAGACATTCAGTCAGATGATAGATTAGACAGACAGAGTTGTAAACACCTTTTTCCCATGGTTTTTTTTTTTTTACAGGAAATCAACCGAAGGAACTCTCTCCTGAAAGTCAACATGCTTCGAAGAAGAAGACAAAAGAAGAGGAAGTAGACGAAGGTGGGGACGACGGAGAAATGTCGAGCACCCCATATGAAAGTGAGGGGGCTTCGGGGGGCTTTGACCCTTCCCCTAGCAAACACAGCCTTGACCTTTCACCTCGTAACCAGAAACAACCACCGTCAAACCCTCAAGGATCACCGGGCAAAAGTCAACACGATCCTCGACAACAGCCTTCAGAGACAGCGACAAGCCACTTTCCATCGAGTCCTAAAAAGGACCAGCAGAAACAGAAGCTGGAGAAAAAATGTTCATCAACAGAACAACAACAACAGCAGCAGCAGCCATCGCACCCTCTGCTACAGACACCGCTTGTGGTAACTCCGCAGCCTCAACCACCACCACAGCAGCAGCAGCAGCAGCAACTAAACGTGTGGCAACAACGTCAACTACAGCAGCAACAACTGCAGCTGCAGCAGCAGCAACTACTGGAGCAGCAGCAACTACAACAACAACAGCTGCAATTGCAACAGGAACTTAAGCAGCAACTTGAGCAAAACAAACTAAGGAAGCAAGAACAGCAAGAACAACAACAGCAACAGCAACAACAGCAGACGTCAGCCTCGTGGAGCGGGGGAGGGCGGGCGGCTCTGACAGAAGACGTGAAGAGAAGGTTGCAGGAGCAGTTAGAGAGGGCTCAGAGGGGGATACAAAGTGTGCAGAGGTTGGCAGCCCTACAGAGCAGGCAGAGGGGAAGAGGTTTGGACTATTCTCTCTCTCTCTTTCTCTCTCTCTCTCTCTGTGTGTGTGTGTCTCTGTCCCCCCCCTCTCTCTCTCTCTTTCTCTCTCTCTCTCTCTCTCTCTCTCTCTCTCTCTCTC